CACCCTCCCCGCCCCCGCCCCCGGCCCTGGCCTTCCGGCCCGGGGCGTCCACCCTCACACCCTGGCCGACATCCAGCAGCCGCTGCAGAAGGCGGCGCCTTTGGGGCGTTCGCTGCCGCTGCCGCTGCCACTGCCGCTGCCCCTGCCACTGTTCGTGGAGCCGAGCCCCGGTAGCATGGCGTACATCGACGAGGACCTCCTATGGTGTCCCGACGGTGACGACGCCGGGGGGATCGCAGAGCTCGAACAGTGTTTGGTACGTGGGCACCAATGTGAAGTCTGTCAGTTTAATCTTTGCTTCCTACTAGGGGTTTACGGATAGGGTGATGTAGTGGGAGTCAAGGACTCCAGTGCATAGTCCAACAGGTTGATGGTTGCTTTCTGGTGGCGGTTCATATAGTAAATTATGGGTTTCTGTTTACAGGAGGCAGCGACAGTGAGTCAGAGCAAGGCCAGTTCAGACTCCCAACTCCAAGGACCAAATGGACCAGCAACGAACCAAACGCCACAAAGTGGCTCCACTCAGCAACAGAATCAACAGCAGACGGGAAGCTCAACCCAGGCTAGCACATCAGGCGCTTCACAGGGTGCCTCTCAAAGTGTTTCACAGCCTGTGCCTCAGAGCGTCCCACAACCTGTGACACAAACTGTGCCACAGGTTGTTCCTCCTCAGACCGTCCCCCAGGAAGCAGGCGCACCACCCAGGACACCACCTGGCTCCTTAACAGGCCTGGGAGAATTAACTCAGCAAGACCTCTCAGGTCTTGTTGGTGATGGAAATGAAGATGATCCTGAAGACCTATTTCAACAACTGGGTGACTCTCATTTTGAGCTTGACAACTTCTTTATGGCTGAACTTGAGGAAAAAGTACGACAGGCAGCAGAACCTAATTTTAAGGTAGTTACCTAAAGCTTGATTTATTTGAATTTCTGGATAGATAGTTTATATTTCAGTCTCATAATGTCTCATTGCTAATTACAGGAGGAAAATAACAACGAAGTACTGTCTGGCAATGGAAATCCTCAGGACACCACTAGAAGTAGCGGAAGCAGGGGAACTACCAGTAGTAGCAGCAGAGGGGCCAGTACAGGTAGCAACAACAGTAATTCAACAACCACCACCACCACCACCACTAGCAGCACCTCTAGTACTAGCAACGACCCCAACATGGCTGCTCTAATCCACGAAATGAGAACCAATCGATCTAAATTCAACATAGCAGCAGCGAACCCTTTACTAGCAGGTAATAGACCTTACAAAGCTGATTGCCTATGATTTATGCTTGGGCCGTCGGAATGATCTCTAGAACACTTGTTTTAATCTTCGCCACCTCGGTGGCGTTTAGATGTACCCCACGCAGCACAAGGAAATACTAGAAAAAGGAAAAAAACACCGGGTGAAGCATTGGTTCTCTTTGCAGAAAAATTATCGTCACCGGCAAGCTGTGCGGTGAGCAGTAGTGCTTCGTGCCCAGATGGATTTAACGACGGCGCCCGCCTGGACATCAAGATGGAGTGCACGGGGCTGGAGATGGACGACTGTCAAGGTAAGGAGGTGGTCTGGAGCGCTGGAGCGCCCGGGCGGTAGGCAGACCATTCGACACCGTGCGTCGGTACCCCACTGGGGAAGCGCGGAGTAGCTCGTCTCAGAAAAGGGGAGAGTTGGGGGGGGGGGGGGGGTGCAGGGAGCGGTACGCCTGGTCCGGCACATTGAGATCGTCCAACGATATATCTATCTCTGCGGGGGGCGACAGGCGATACCCCTCGCGAGAGAGCGCTCGGGCGGGGCTACCCCGGGCGGTGGGGGGCGGCCGCCGGGCGCCGCCGCGAGAGGGCGCCAGCGAGCGCTCCCGCCTCATGACCTAGCCCAAGGAGGACTTCCCTGGCGCTACGCAGCGCCACGGCGCCACGGCTGACGCACGTCCAGGCGGGAGTATTTCCGCTCGTCAACGCCGCACTATTTTTAGCAAATGAAACGAGTGTGTGTGTGCGCGGCCGGCTGGGGAAGTCCTTCTTGATTTGCAAATCGGTTTACTACTATTTTTCATGTATTTCTATCTGTCGGTTTTTTCCATTGCCGGCTCGTTTCGCGGCCAATACGCCGTAGTTGTTTCTCTGTGAGTGCATACTGCTCAGCGAAAGTGCGTCAGATATTCGCGCTTACGCTTAGCCCACGCAAGATGCAAGCCCTCATAGCGCCTGTTAGGTAGGCAACATCTTAGCATCAGTGCATACGTGCAATGCGGGGTGGCCTACCCCGACTCTCGCAGGCGTCAAACCCGCGTAAATGAACCCGGGAAAAACGGACGTACATACTTTCTGGATAACGCACACTTAAGCCCGACACCACGCCTGTTACCCACCATACTTTGCAGAGAGTCGTGAAAAAGGAAACTTTTCGTTTTGTGTGAAAATCGGCGGTTTCGTTTTTTTGAGACCATTGGTGTTTTCACGCGTCTGCGTCCCCACTGGAGTGCGAGAGAGACGGCCGCAGGCGGACGGCTTCAGCAGCCGGAAGCCCTCCCCCCCCCCTTCCCTCGTGGCCGCGCGGGGTTATTGCGAATAAAAGCTTCCTGCGGATGACGAATGCCGATGCGAATGTGTCCATGGCCCAAAACGCCAACCGCGCCCGACCCGGCCCCCGCTGCAGTTCCGTCAGGTGGATTATTTTTAGCGAATTCCCCTCCGCCGCGGGTCCTCCTGGTCCACTGTAATAAGTACAATACTTTGTAAATTTGCGACATTTTTGTGTTCATACAACAGTTAATGTAGTTACGACCGTTAATTCTGACTATTTGGTGACACTCATGGAGTGTTAAAAAGTCTCGTTTTTGTTTCTTTTTCGTAACCATTCAAGTTTGTTACCCACCGATTTCTTTCGGGGAAAATTTTTACGAACATTTTTAACAGCGATGCTGTGCCGAGCTCGCTTGGTTTATGACTGCGGGCTACACGTTGAGTTGAGAGCTAGCGGCATACTGTTAACCCTGGTTGTCGAAAGTGTGCACTCGTTTATATAGCAAAGTAGCGGCGAGTAGTTTGGCGGCATGCGAAATGTCATGCTGAAGAAAAGTAGACGCGCATAACGCTTCACAGAAATTCCAAGAAACGTGTCTCCCTCTCCACTGCTAAAAAAAGGTTACTAAACATCAAACCCTTCGTGAAAAAAGTGCCACTCTTCGTATAAAATCCCTACTCTCGTTTGTAATCAAAAATGATTGATCTAAACTAATCACGACTAGCCATTACGAGAGCCGAGAGCCTTTATAAACAATCCCCCCCCCCCAAAAAAAACGTCGCGAAACTGTGTGATTTTGTTTTCAATGAATAATAAGTACACTGGAAAAACAAAGGTAGGACTCGAAGGGTTTTAATAAAAACTAGCACTCCTGCAATGGCATTAAAACTTCCCAAAGGTGTTAATACCCTTGGACACTATCGTGCCTTTGCAAAGGCATTTAAATTTAACACGCCTATAGAGAGGCACTAATAAGTCCTACCTTTGTTTTTCAAGTGTAGTGTTGGGATCGGTTGGGATCTCGCAATTTATTACTCTACAAATGAGGACATAGTCCGGAGAAGTCGCAACCAATTTTTACCAACAGTGGCCTCCCCTCGACCCGCTTGCCAAGTTTGAGGAAGATGCGACCTTGGGGGGAGACCGCAAGGGAGGGGAAGTCACAAACAAGCATCGATACGATGTCGCACCACAATTTCTTGCTCGATAGAGTGATTCCATATAGTGACCATTTCGCAGTCGGTTTCCCCGCGGGGCCCGGCGGCGGGCCCGTCACCTGCCTGCCGCCGGGCTGAATCAGTCAATATACGCCCCCCGGGTCGAGCCCGGCCCGGGCCGGCGACCGTTGTCCTGGTCAGGCATGGCGTAGGTCGCGCGATTAGGCGGTCACTCACCCAGGCTCCTAGTGGCGACCCTCCCGTCGTCGTCGTGGGCCTAGCGTCATGATTCGGTTAGGCCCGCCCGACCTCACGCTATGCGCCGCCCGCTTACAAATATATTGCACGGCTGGTGTGGTAAATTAATGATAAAGATTACTGCTGCCCAGCTCTGGAGGGTTTCGCCCCCATCGCTTTTTCTAAAAGGCGCGAGTGACGTGACGTTATTCTGACAAGTACCCGGCGAACAGTAATGTACGCGTGGAGCTGGGTAGTATCGACTCTCTTGGGCGGTCACTGAACATGTCGTGGTTAGAGCAAAGTATTCACGGCACGAAACGTGTACAGTGATTGACAAGGCTCCAGAGCGCCCCTCCCGTCGGCGTAGGCAACACATGCATGCGGTACAGGTACGCTATGCTATGTACCGTGCGTCAGGGCTACGGCATAACACTTTTGAGTGTTTGCATACCCTCCTAGGGGCCATGGCGCCTAACGGGTCAAGCGAGTACGCAACCCAGCCTACTGTTGTGTCCAGGCCCTGCTGACTCACGATGCAGCACCTCACGACAGAAACCAAAACCATACCGTGACAGTGATCATCTGCGGTAGCACCACGTGACAGCAACCATCTCATGACAGCCACAATCTCGTGACAGCAACCATCTCGTGACAGCAACAATTTGATGACAGTGATCCTCGTGGTGATCCTCTGTTGCTGCATCTCATGACAGCAACCATCTCATGGTAGCAAGAATCACATTCACGACAGTGATCCTCTGTGACAGCAACCATCTCCCGACAGTCGTCCTCTGTGACGAGCAACCATCTCATGACAGTGACCCTCTGTGACAGCAACCAACGCATGACAGTGATTCTGTGGCAGCACCTCGTATGAAAGTGAACCCCGCGGCAGCTCCTCCACCCTGTGCCTGCCCCTGTCGGTGCGCACGCCTACCCCAAGCTGGGCTCGCGTGTGGGCGCCATGGGCGGCGCCATGGGCCGTGGGCGCTGCCAGGGACCTGCTGGGCCTGGCGTGACGTAGGTGCGGCCTAGTCAGACCCAGTGATAGCAGCGGCCCGATGAGTCGCACGCACTGTCAAAAATATCCTCGTAAATTTGCAACTCATGTTGTAATTTTTATTATTATTTACAAAATATGTTTTAAATTTTGCGACAGCCTATTCTTGATTGTCGATCAATTGCAAGTCGATACAACGCGCTCAGATTCAAAAATTTTTAATTGAAATTTTACGACCCACACCATGGCAAGTTTTTCCGTAAACCTTTACGACTATTTTTCACAGGAATATGTTTTATCATAGGCCTATGTGTTACGTACTGTAAAATTACAACTTATAACTGTGGAATTTCAATCATTGTATATCGACTTGGAATTTATTGACAAATAAGAATGGGCAGTCGTAAATTGACATCATATTCTCTAAATCGAAAATACAAAATACGTTGTAAATTTACGTAGATATTTTTCACATTGCGTCATATGCAAAGCCCACCTCCACTGTTACACAAAACACAACACTGGTAAAACAAAGGTTGGTCGTTCGAAGGTTGCAAATCCCAGCTCCCTTCGTGGCATGTACAGTTGTTTGGGCTGGGGTGGTATTTTTTCCACACGAGACCGCGCGGTGGCGCCCTCTGGCGGCCGAAACAGGAAACATACCGATAGTGATGCGGTGTGGAGGAGAACGGAAGCTCTTGAGGAGAGAGAGAGATATCTGATGCGATGTGACGGCTTCTGGCGAAAGTGAGAGGGAAAGAGAGAGAGAGATAGAGAAAGAGGGATGCAGGGCGTCTTGACTCGGTCTTGACTGAATCGCGTGCGAGGGAGATAGCTGCACAAGGGTGGTGTGTCCTTCCCTGCTCGCCTGACTTGCCACCCTCTGCCTCCTTCGCTCCTATGCCTTGCCTGCGCCGCCAGCCCCACCGTCTTCGACCTTCAACTCGTCGCGGCGGAATTTGACCTGCTCCAATATAGTCTTATTTCGACCCTTCCCACCGCCGCTATTTGACCTATACGACCACCCGTCGAACATATAACCGCCTGCGACCTTATACGACTTTCTGGCTAATGTTGCTCGTATTGTGTCCTCTCATCGACTCGCCCTTCGGGTTTTCTGCATAAGGTTTTACGTTACGTTACTAACAAACAAAAATAAAATAATTGGTAGCAAAAAACAAGAAAAAAACAAGAGCTAAAATGTTTGTAAAATATCAAGTTCAATTTTCTCTTCAAAGAAGCGTGTAATTTTTTAAAAATTTAAAAACACCGGTAAAACGAAGGTAGTATATCCTACCTTTAAAAAAAGAGACCACTAAAGCTCCAAAGGCATTACAGTTTATATTTTTTCGAAATATTTCGTTCCCATGGAATAAAATTGGATTTTAAGACCCATTTTCGTAATCTACGCAAAATTCCGCGTCGAACGAGCCTACATCTGATTGGGTTCTGTTAAAAAGTAGCATAAATTGATAGAATTTTTTCGTACTTTTTGACTGGCTTTTTATTTGCTGACTGCTTATCAGCATTCTTTTACATGTAGGCTCGCTTGACGTGGAATTTTGCGACGGATGCGACAACGTATCCCAAAATGTGATTGGTTTGCTCATTCAGAAAATATTTGGGAAAATC